GGGAGAATGATGAGTTTGCTTTCAGACACTTCAAATTTGAGATGTCAACTGAACACAAAGACAGATATGTCTAGAAATGCAAATCTGTAAATAGGAAGAAAAGGTGGAACTAGAAATGGGGCCTGGGGTCATCCGCAAAGAGGTAAGGCCATGGAAGAGCTTTAGGGATGGAGTCGTAGCATAACTGAACGGGTTGAAAAGGATGTAGGGGCAGCAAAGGAGACCAGGAAGGGTCTACGAATTCCAGGTTATAGAAGGAAAAGATGTATTTGAAACACATGCTAGGATAGTATCATGAGGCTCAGATGGGATGGTAAAGTGAAAAGCAATTCCAACATCTTAAAGTATGTACCAGACAAATGCATTTGTATTATGGTTACAGTAGTACATGTTTAATCTCTACAAAAGCCACACTACATGGGAAGAGTCAGGCTTCTCAAAACCTTCCAAAGTCCCCTCTCAGCTAAATCGAATGGAAATATGATCTCCTCTTCCCTTGAACTCTTACAGTACTTAGTAAGTCTTTTCTTCGGTATTTATATAACTCAAGACGTTTATACAACTGAGCATCAACCATGTGCCAAACACTACAGTGGGGGCTTCCATATATGAGTATTCCCCCACTTGGAGTCGATAAAACCAAAACTTAAGATTTATCCCCCTTTACAGAAGATGAAATAAGGCTCAAAATGGTTAAGTATCCTGAGTAAGATTGCCAGCTAATAAGCAGAGGAACACGAGGCTTCTGATGCCAAGGCTTATCGTGCCTTTTTCACTAAAACTCAAGTTGGAACTTGCCATACTTGTTCTTATTTCCTTTACTTCAATGCCAGGAAATTAGGGGCACAAGCCATGTCCCATTTATCCTGCTGGCCTCTGAAGCACCCAGCAAAGGGCCTTACACCTGGGTCATCTCCCATTGTGTTTCCATTGCCTGGAAGAATGAATGCACGGATTTGCAGGCACACAGGCCTCGCTAATGAGAGCGTTTGTGGGTTGGTAAGCTTTGAGTACTTATTTCTAAGGCAGACTTTAACTTAACAACAAAAAGTTCTAAAAACAAATTCTGTACTTGTGAAAGATGCCACCTGGTTTGCCTTAGGGGCTGAAGTCCTCTTTTTATGTACCGAGTGGGAACAGCAAAGGGAGTGACAAGCCGGTTTTCTTCAAACCACCATCACAGAGTGGCTCATGCCAAGAAAAGGGCCCACACCTTTCAGGGAAGGGAGCTGTGCAGCCTCTGCTGCCTACTTAGCCTCTGGTGTCACTGCTGGAACTGCCAAGAGTCTGGGAAGGACGGAGAGGTAGAGCATGTTTACTGCCAGCTCTGATGACATAACCTTACAATTCCAGCTTTTCTGCCAGGAACATAAGGCGACTGGCTTGGAAACTAGCTTCCCCCTCCCCAGTCCCCAAAAGACAACCAATGTCAGGTTTGCACAATTGACTAGTAGGTTTTGTTTGCGTATCTCACCACGTATTTTTTTTTAATGAACAGTAACTAATTCAAAGGACTGACCTGAGCTCTTTGGAAAACAAATGTATAGAGCCTGAAATATGAATATCTCATAAATGTCCCTTGTGTGAGAGGAACAGGAGGTTTTCAGAAGCATGTACTTTGCAGGCCATATACAGGCACGGTGGGGGACCAGGAAACAGCAGGCATCCAAACGCCATGAAGGCATGCAGTCATGTTCCAGCGCTGCCAGAGACACCAGACAGCTCTCCAGGGCCCTGTGTAAACACAGCGACTTCTGAAGCGGGGCTGCATTTCAGAGCTTCAGAACTTTTAATGCACTGGGGAGTTTTCTAGCCAGTGTCTCTGACAGATGTTATGTTCCCTTTTGTGGACCACCTAATTTGGGGACATTTGGTATCCATGTCCCTAGCAATATTTAGGGTACAACAAATTGGTCCCTTTTCCTCCATGCACTGGATGGCATAAGTCCAAAGCAGCCTTCTCCTGTTTCTGAGACATACTAATAGGAACCTAACAACCTTTCCCACTGCATGGACAAGCTGGGGCAGAGAGAGATTAGCCGGACTGAAATGGGGAGTCTCCCAGGCTCAGGGTATCTTTCCATGCCCATGGTGAGCAGATAATGAGAACACAAGCATTTTTCTTGTCAATTTTTACCTAATATAGGATTAGACTATTGGTCTCACTTGGGCCTCTGCCCGTCAAATCCACAGCATGGGGTTTAGGACTTCCTAGAAAGAGCCACAGCAGACGCCAAAAAGAGTCCAAGCCTCAGCGAGGTCAAGCGCCTGGCATTGATTTGGGAGGGTCCACATGACTCTTGAAAGGACTCTCCAAGTCTGATCAAACGCCTGGGTAGCTACAAGTTGACAGGGTAGTATGAAACACAGAAGAGAAACGAGAGCCTAGCACAACATCAATGGTAGTCCCAACCCCTCTTCACTCACTTTTTAATATCTGAGCATTTTTCTTACGACCTTGGCCTTACTGAAACGACACTACTTCTGTTCTATACTCTGAACTCTGCAAGAGTTAACCAAATATATTAATAACTGTAGCAAACATGTAAGCCCTTAAAAGTCATATCACAATTTGACCACTTTCCATTTTAACCTTTCTCTAAAACCTCATTTGTACAACTTCTACTTAAGGATGTAAGAACTTTTGGTAGTTGTTTTTTTCTTTCTTATATTATGAATACGGTTCTACTAAGTGAATTTTTATCAACCAGGAAAAATGTAATACCTCTTGTGCAGCATTTTCACATTTTCTTGTGAGTATTACGTATTGACCTAGAATACTGCCAATGAGGCTATTGTTTATTAAAGGAACAAAAAGACTTGTTTCTTGCCCTTGGGTCGCTTGCAATTTAAATTTAGTAAAAGATGAAAAAAACAATGCACACCATTAACTAAATCTATGGGGAGCAGATTAGGAGAGTGATACAGATTTAGTATTCTAAGGGTTCAGGGGAAGACTAGACTAATTGTGCTCAGGAAAAATAGTTGGTAGAGATGATATTTGAATGAGACCTTAGAAAATGTATAGTATTTCAACAGAAAGAGAACATTAGAGAAGGGTACTTCATGTGGAGGTAACAGCTTTAGCAAAAGCACAGAAGCAAGAGCGCGCAACTTGAAGTTTTCAAGTGACAGAGTCTGGCTGAAGGATGGGCTACGGGAGGGAAAACAAGGAACTGATCTGGAAAGTACACTGTGGCCAGTTCTTAACATACAATGAACGTGGAGGAAAATGTAGAAAGCTAGACTTTAGAAATAGGAAATCACTTTCACAATATATCCTCAACTAATAATTTCTTATATCACATCTTAGATTGTTATGGGGAGAAATATTTTATTAGCAAGCTTATGTGCAAACTAGATGCAATAACTTCAAAGAAAAATAATGTGGGAGCTCGGAAAATTGTTTTCAGAGCTGGCAAATTCTTGGCTGCAGCTTAACTAATATATTCTTATTTCCTCCATCTTGGGGTGGTTTCATTAATACCTCTCTTTCCGCATCACCAAAATATCTTCCTAATTTAACTCATTACATATGTGCTGAGTGGCACTCTAGAACTAGTATGTGTCACTCATTTACCCATCTTCTCTTTCTCTGCCCCACGTGTCCTGCTAACCACTCACTCACTCACTCACTCACTCATTCTTCTCATATGAACCATATCAACAACAGCATGAATAGCTACAACTTGCTATAATGCCAGGCCCTGCAATTAACAATTTATGGACAATATTTAATATAATCCTCAAAACAACCCTATGAAGTAGGTATTATTATGCCTGTTTTACGGATGAGAAAACAAGTTCAAAGACGTTAAATACGCTGCTAACTGGTAAGTGGCAGAGCCTGGGTTTAAGCCAGATGTGCTTGACCCCAGAACCTTGTCTGTTACCACTTCACTGTGCTGCCTCCAGCACTCTCTGACCTCTTACTGAGAGGAGGTAGTATTTACAATTACACATTAACACAGTCACTGAGTGCCTGCTACTGTAAAATCTTGTCCTGGGTGCTATCAGAGGTATATAAATAAATGAGAAAATGTATGTAGATTACTGATGCTCATAATCTCCATATTTGAGTATGAACAGCTATGTCAGTGTGTAAGATGGCATGTCTATGATACATGAATTAGAGCAACTAAGGTCAGAGGGGGTAAAAATGGCTCAGTGTATGGATGCTGAATGGTGACCACATCTCACAGACAGAAATCAGCCAGCCCTGACTAAATGACTTGCAGAGCATTTTAATAATCCATTTCAATCAGAGCCTGTAAAATCGCTGTCCGCTGATGAAAAATCTGGCCTGTCAGAAGTTCCCAACCAAATCTGGTTACAATCTATTTTCAATGAACCTCAGCTTCCTTTGAAGTAGAATAAGCTACTAAAGCATTTTAGCCAACAATAAGCACATTGTGAGGCTAGTCCTTGTAAAATTCATTACCGATGAGCAAAGTTATTTGGTTAAAACTACTTGCACCATGTAGCCTGAATGTTGTGTAAAATTACAGAGCTCCTTAGACACAGAAAAGCAATTCCAACATGTCATCTTTTTAAGCAATCTGCTTTTGATATTACCTTTACTAACTTCTGAATAAGCTGTGGCTTAATATTTTTAGGAGACTAGTTACATTTTTACAAATCACTGTAATAGTTACAAATATAAGAAATTGGGTAGGATGTTGTTTAGCAGTACTCTTTAAGCTGCAACCACATGCACCCAGGAAACATTTGAAAGCAGTCACAATTTCAGATGCAGTCTGCCTCCTCATCTCTCTCTACCAAGGTACAGTATGCATATCACAAACTGCACAGCTAAGACTCATCCAAAGATGGTGAATGCTAACCACATTTACTCTGCGATCTAAACTTCTGATTCAATTCATTTTTGAGAAAACAAAACTCATTTTAAGAGTTCAAGAGTGGCAAAAGAATTATCAAGACACATTTGGTTTACAAGGAGAAGCACCAGGCTACATAAAATTAATGACACTGATACTTACTGTTCAATTCGGGGCGACAAGTACAGCTTGGGGTATACCTGAGTGGCTTCAGTGTCCTCAAAGCTGACGGAAAGCAGGGCCACGTCTTCTCCAGGGTCTTCATTTACATCCTTAAATAAGAAGTGAAAAACACAACGTCATCAGTACCTGTGATGGTAACGTCTTTTTGGTGACAAGTCCACTGTCATTGAAGCTACAGGCTGTGAGTTGCCGGGATTTGAATTTAGCAGCTCTGTACATCCTTTGCCACATACCTAGTGACTCCCCTAGAGTGATGGTTTTCCAGCTTTCTGACCAAAGCCTACCATGGTGAGGGAAAGACCCCCGCTTATTTCACTTGTTCCCACATTCTAAGAGGTAAAAAGTGAATCTGATAACCAAGAATTAGACAAAAACATAGTTAACAAATTGTAGTAAACATGTTACTGGCAATATATATATAATAGCTTATAATTTGTATATTTATAAGTGGCTAATAATTTACTTTTTATAGAAAGAATGAGTTATAAATATGATATCATAACACAACAATGAAACCTTAAAATACCCAGTAATTTTATGATACCTACCTTGACAGTATATTGTAAGTTATTTAAATAGCAAAAACTCCCAAGAAACATATCACTATGAAGTGTGCCACCATACAAGCCAATGGCAGGGGGTTACATACACATGTGCTTTAGCCAAATGACTATGCGTGGTTCATTTGTGAACCATAAGACATACATATCTTAAAGTCTGGTTATAAGAATATTATAAGACAAAAACATTGATCCAAATATGCATGAAAAAACACTAAGAGGTTAACCCAACAACACACAATAAACTAAACTGACAATGATAAAGCTAAACTTACTATAACTTATAATTAAAAAGCAAGAACAGCAGCAATCAAATGTCATAACCAACTCAGGCCAACACTGATGATACAATGATGAAGTGTCCTGAATCAAAATGGCAGGACTTACAACTGTGTGTGTACTTTACAATTATTGCCAGACTTCTAAACAGAATACTGAATTAGAATAAATTCTGCAGCACGCAATTTTAATTTGTGAGTACCAAATTGTAGAAACCCTCAATAATTTATTTTTGGTTGGTAGTGGCTCCTAGTCAAATATTAACTTTTTAAAAACTTAACAGAATTGCACATCTTTCACCCATAGGGACTATTAAGAACCGACCTAGGGCCGGCCGAATGGCTCAGTTGGTTAAGAGCTCGCTCAAGAGTTTGAGCTCAGAGCAACAGCGGTTCGAGGCCAGCCCGAGCTGAGCAGCCGCTAAGCTGCCAATAGGTAGCAGGATGGCTCAGCTAAAAAAAAAAAAAAAAAAAAAAAAAAAAAAAAAAAAAAAAAAAAAAAAAAAAGAACCGACCTATATTTCAGGATTAGTTCATAAGTCGCCATGAGGGCTCGGCAACCATCCTAGGAGGGTCCCAACCTCGACTTTAAGAATCATCACCGGCGAGCACTGAGAACCTCAGATATGATGTCCTTCCTTCTGTCTAAATCTAATGTCACCCCTTCTTTCCCAGGCATCCTGGGAAGCTGTCATCACACTCAACCCGCTCAGCGTGAACATCGTCAGCCTCCTCGCTCTGCCTTCTATTGTGCCTAAAGGATGCACAACTGTGGCATGTTTACAAAGGGACGAGGACCAGGAGTCTCTCCCATCTTAAAAAAACAAAAATGAAAACAAAATCATGCTGGTCTCTACACGTTCCCCTGGTTCCTCTCTCGCCTCTCTGCTCCCCTCTATGCACTGCTTCGAAGAGCCGTCTCCGCCCCGGGTTTCCACTCCCTTCCCTCCTACACGAGCCCTGCGCGCAGCATGTAAGCCTCTCGCCCTGCTCCTTCCGGGTCCAGGCTGCTCCCACCCAGGGCGTCCACTGAACGCGGCAAGTGCTTGTCTGTCTTCTCACTTGATCTCTAAAGAGTATTGGACATGGCTGACCTCTCTCCTCTAGAAACCCTCTTTTTTTCTTGCTTCTCAGACACTATACTTTCCTGTCTTCTCCTGTCCCTTTGGCCACTTCCCCTCCTCCCTTTGCATCTTCGTTTCTTAACTTCTCAATTTTTTGGTTTTACATTATAAAATTTAGGCTGGTTGTGACAAGTCAAACTATACAGAAGTTTATAAAGAAAAAGGCTCTTCCACCTTCACTTTTTAAGGTAACCAATGTTAATTGTGTGTGTGTCGCCTCAAAAAGCTTTTTCTATGCTCATAAAAACATACACACACTTGCATATAAATAGCTCTTTAACCTTTCTGTTTTGTTTTCCCTAATGGAAACATATTATAAATATCAGTCTACCAATTGCTTTCTAAATAGCCACATAATCTTCCATGACATGGATTTATTTTTTATTAAACCATTCCCCTAGCAACGGGCATGCAGGGTGTTCGTAGTTCTTAGCCACTTGATAGTGGTACAATAAATTTCATTGTGTATATATCCTTTACTACTCGGACTTGCATTTCTTGATAGATAACTGGAACCGAGCTTGTTGGGCCAAAGGTTATGAACATTTTACCTTTGAATAGAGTTTGGTAGATCATTTTTCTAAAAATTTACAGCAATTCACCTTTGGACCCATGAATTTGCATGAGTATGAGAGCCTGTTTCTGCTCATCCTGAATAACTAAATAACACCGGCGGTTGTCACTTTTTAAAAATTTAATGGTGACATGACAGTTGGAAAATGGTACCTCAGTTTAGATTCAATAAACAAAGCTGAGTAACTTTTCACTTGTTTACTGGTCATTTACCTTTTTTCTGTAAATTTTCTGATCAAATCCATTGCCCATTTTGCTTTAAGGTTCTTAGACTTTTTTGGCATTACTGTTTATTAGGCTTATTAATTCTTGTCCATCACAGGTTATAAATATTTTCTCTCAGTCTCGCTCTGATGTTTTACTTTGGAGGCTCTTCTGATATCACAGAAATATTAGATTTCTCTAGTTAATATTTAACTATTTCCCTAGCTTTTCATCTAACATTGTTATAATTTTATTTTTACTTGTACATTGAATAGCTCTGGAATACATTTTTCGTTATGATACAGGAAGCATGGAAGAGGAGGACCTTAGTACAGTGCCTGGAACATGGAAACTACTCAATGTTTGCTGAATGAATAAATTAGTGAACACATTAATGTTCATTCCTAACCTTTATTCTCCATACCCAGTGATTTTCAGGAACATGCTTTACAAAAGCTGCTGTCATCAGTGACGTCTGGAAACTATGTACTGACTCCTTGCTCCAGGCCCCATAACATACTAAGTTCCCTAGAACTAGAGGCTTTAAAAGGAGAGCCAAGACTGAGAGTCCACGTTTACCTATTGCTTTTTGCTCTTTCACAAATGATAAAGAATTCATCCTTGAATATTCTTTTCTGTAAAATGAGGATGCAAAAATTGAAAAATACTTACAATCTCAGCAAATACAAAACTATGTAATTATATGGATCTAAAACGCATAAACTAAGATTGAAGCTGAGCTTGAAAAAAATTCACATTTAGAAGGAGAAATTCATTTTATGATCTAAGTTTAGAAGGAGTCCTCTTTAGAGTTAGATTAAAAGACAGGTTAAAAGACAATAATAAAAAGGACAAACATGGGTTTTCAGACCTTCCCCCAACGGCTGAATTTCCTTGTTAAAAGGTCAAGGCTCTGATTACAAGTCACAAAACCCTGTGAAAAAACAAACAAACTAGGGGCCACTGAAAACCTTTTTAATTAGCAGCTTTATTCCCTATGCCTATGGATAATTGATCAGTATTTCTCTTTCCTACTTTGTAACTTCTCATTTCACTATTATTTAAGTAAAAAACAAAAATGCTTAGGGACAGTTCTCCCAACAAATGAAGAGACTGTGGTTTATATAATCGGCATGTACATGGCATCCTACAAAGAGTACATGAAACATCAGTCTGAATATAAAAATAGTTGTTTCCAGGAGTTTCTTTTACCAACTACTTTAATATGATTTATTCCCCTTAGAGTGGCACCTGAGTTTTCCCCGAACCGGTGTTTGATTCCTCATGGATACCTAAGTTTGACTTTGAGTGCTTAAATAAGCCCAAAGAGTTCCAAAAATACAGATCCACACAGTGCTGTTTCCAGTTTCCGCAACTCTAACAGGCTTGTACATGTGTTCCTTCCCATCTGGGAAATTATGAAAGAAGCTCTTGTACCATGGTTCTTAGAAGCTAACATTACAGATGATTACTGTGACCACTAATGGCAGCATTGGGAAAACAGGAGGTGGTTACAGTGTAGTAGGGGACATTTAAAAATGTACAAGTGTACATTTTCAGGGCTTTCTATCTGATACACCGTTTGAAGCTGCAGCAGGCTAAAATGGAGGAAAAGATGCCGAATCTGCTGAAGCTAAAAAAGAACATTGCCTCCCACCTTCATAAGAGTGTGTCAGGCACCGACATATATATACACGGTGAGGGGATAATGGCCACGAGTTATTCCTAAGATCTAACGATGGATTTGGATCGGCACTTGACTAGAGCAGAAAGGAGTTCTTATAGCTTATAGTGAATAATAACTAGATGCTGAGCTCCTTGCAGGCTGGGAGCTTTTCCTGTTCATTTTTGCATCCCCAGTGTTTGGAACATAGTACATACATAGCAAGTTGGTTGAAATAAAATGAATTAATGCAGGAATGAATGTAAGAATGAGTAAATGATGGGAGTTATTGGGTTGTCGGAAAAGTCATGACGCATTTTTGCAATGAAAAACATAGAAAAAATACGTCACGACTTTTCTGACAACCCAATAAATAGGAAGTGCTTTCCAGTTAGAAAAATTCTCAATGTTTATCTCTCTAGTTCCTCCAATCTACAATGACTTAAGATTTTACTAAAGCAAGCTCAACCCTGAGTTTGAGCAATATATATAAGCAAAGGATACACCTAATCAGAGTTACTATTCTGTTTAGGTCATAATGATTTATTTATATAAGTATTCTCAATTGGGGCTCTTTTAAATACCAAAAGGGTGTTGAGAAAAAAAACAACAACAATTAGCCTTGGAAATGAAAGTAAACATAAGTACAATTTAACATTATGCTGTACCCCTTTGATATGCTAATTT